GTGTATGTGGGTGTGTGTGGGGGGGGGTGTGGGTATGGGGTGCGTGAGGTGTGTGGGGTGTAGGAGTTGTGTGGGGGTGTGTGGGGAGATGTGAGGGATGTGTAGGGTATGTGTGGGTGTGTGTGTGGGGGGGGTGTGTGTGAGGAGTGTGGGTGTGTGGAGGGTGTGGGAGATGTGTGGGGCGTGTGGGGTGTGGGAGATGTGTGGGGTGTGTGGGTGTGTGTGAGGGGTGTGGGTGTGTGGAGGGTGTGGGGGATATATGTGGCGTTGGGGTGTGTGGGGGGGGTGTGAGGTGTGTGTGGGGGGTGTGAGGTGTGTGTGGGGTGTGTGGGTGTGGGGGAGTGTGAGGTGTTTGGGTGTGGGGTGTGAGGTGTGTGTGGGTGTGAGGTGTGTGGGGATTGTGTGTGTGCAGGTGTGGGCGTGGGTGGGGTGTATGTGGGGTGAGGGGTGTGAGGTGTGTGTGCGTGTGGTGTATGTGGGGTGGGTGGGTGTGGGGGTTGTGTATGTGCGGGTGTTGTGTGGGGGTGTGGGGAGTGTGGGGTGTGGAGGTGGAAAGGCCTGGGGTGTGTGGGTGTGTGGAGCAGGGCGGCCCAAAGGGCCCACAGCCCCGAGGCTGCTGTGGTAGGAGGTGGGCGCGGCCCCCGGCAGGTGAGGAGCCTTGTGACAGGGGCGTGGCATCCGGGGACTTCAGGGGCGGGGGGCTGAGCGGAAAGGGGGAGGCGGGGTGGGGCTGCTCCGGAGGAGAAGTGGGCGGGGCCGCGCCCACCCCTGGGGACCGCCCGGACGCCCCCGGGCCTCCAGTGAGCCCCTCACAAGCTTCTTGACAGACCAGGACCACCCGCTGCCTCCCCAGATGGCCAGTTAGTCCAGGGTCCGCTCTGGACTGTTCAGCCTGAGGAGTGGCAGCTGCAGGCCTGTCCTCACAGGCGCAGTGAAAGGACTTCAGACGTTGGGGTGGGTGCTAGAAAGGCTAGTCCAGGGCCTCGCGGGACAGGGGCTGGCGTTTGGGGTGCCGCTTTGTGTGGTGACCGCTGGAACTGGGCAGGGGGCGCAGGGGCCTCAGAGCACCCGCACCACAGATGGGCCCTCGAAGCAACGCCCAAAGCCTCAGGACACAAAGGGTGGGCTCTTGCTGGAGCCCCGGGGACGGTCCTCCTCCAGGTCTTGATTCCAGGTGGAGGACAGGCCTGGGGTGAGTCCAGGGGGTCTTTATTCCTTTGTCCTGGTGGTCTCATCGGGCCCACGGCCAGGATCTTAGAGATGCATTCTTTGTTCCTCAGCAGTTTGAGAACAGTTCCTCAGACCTTCTCAGTGTTCAATCTGATCTGGCTGAGGAGTGAGTGAATGAAATCTGCAGATCCCCAAGGTGTGGGAAAAACATATAAAAGCAAGCAAAAGAAGCTTTTATCTAAAAAACTGTATTGGCAAAAGTGCCTTCAAATAGAGTAGCTGATATAATTAATAGTAATTCAATGTATCTGGGTTAACGTTTTTCGGAAACTGGTAAAGAAATAATTTCAAGTGACTGGGTTCAAATTCTTTTGAAATACAGATGGTTTCCAAGTCTTTACTTCCAACGAAAATTGAAGGAAAGTCCAATCAAATTGTTAGCTGATACAAGTTAAATTAAAAGAAATTGATGATAGATCAGTATGTGATTTTTGGCATTTAAGTAAAATATGTTCATTGCTAGGGTATGAGCATGTTTTAGTTAAATGCTAATGTATTTGACTATGGTACATTGCTATCCATTGGTGTTTCATTTCTGTCTTTTTTTTTTTTAGTGTAAAAAAGTTTTCTCAGTATTTACAGCAATAAACATAAATAATCAGAATATAACTTATTAGAAAAGTCTTAACCATAGTATTTGATTTAGGTCATACCTGAATGATCTAATGGTTTTCCCTACTTTCTTCATTTTAAGTCTGAATTTGGCAATAAGAAGTTCATGATGTGAGCCACAGTCAGCTCCCAGGCTTGTTTTTCCTGACTGTATAGAGCTTCTCCATCTTTGGCTGCAAAAATATAATCAATCTGATTTTGGTGTTGACCATCTGGTGATGTCCATGTGTAGAGTCTTCTCTTGTGTTGTTGGAAGAGAGTGTTTGCTATGATCAGTGCGTTCTCTTGGCAAAACTCTATTAGCCTTTGCCCTGCTTCATTCTGTACTCCCAGGCCAAATTTGCCTGTTACTCCAGATGTTTCCTGACTTCCTACTTTTGCATTCCAGTCCCCTATAATGAAAAGGACATCTTTTTTGGGTATTAGTTCTAAAAGGTCTTGTAGGTCTTCATAGAACCATTTGACTTCAGCTTCTTTGACATTAGTGGTTAGGACATAGACTTGGATTACTGTGATATTGAATGGTTTGCCTTGGAAATGAACAGAGATCATTCTGTCATTTTTGAGATTGCACCCAAGTACTGCATTTCAGACTCTTTTGTTGACTGTGATGGCTACTCCATTTCTTCTAACGGATTCCTGCCCACAGTAGTAGATATAATGGTCATCTGAGTTAAATTCACCCATTCCAGTCCATTTTAGTTCTCTGATTCCTAGAATGTCGATGTTCACTCTTGCCATCTCCTGTTTGACCACTTCCAATTTGCCTTGATTCATGGACCTAACATTCCAGGTTCCTATGCAATATTGCTCTTTACAGCATCGGACCTTGCTTCTATCACCAGTCCCATCCACAACTGGGTATTGTTTTTTCTTTGGCTCCATCCCTTCATTCTTTCTGGAATTATTTCTCCTCTGATCTCCAATAGCATATTGGGCACCTACCGACCTGGGGATTTCCTCTTTCAGTATCCTATCATTTTGCCTTTTCATACTGTTCATGGGGCTCCCAAGGCAAGAATACTGCAGTGGTGTGCCATTCCCATCATCCTGAAAGATGATGCTGTGAAAGTGCTGCACTCAATATGCCAGCAAATTTGGAAAACACGGCAGTGGCCACAGGACTGGAAAAGGTCAGTTTTCATTCCAATCCTAAAGAAAGGAAATGCCAAATAATGCTCAAACTACCACACAATTGCACTCACCTCACATGCTAGTAAAGTAATGCTCAAAATTCTCCAAGCCAGGCTTCAGCAATATGTGAACTGTGAACTTCCAGATGTTCAAGCTGGCTTAATAAAAGGCAGAGGAATCAGAGATCAAATTGCCAACATCTGCTGGATCATCGAAAAAGCAAGAGAGTTCCAGAAAAACATCTATTTCTGCTTTATTGACTATGCCAAAGCCTTTGACTGTGAGGATCACAATAAACTGTGGAAAATTCTGAAAGAGATGGGAATACCAGACCACCTGACCTGCCTCTTGAGAAACCTATATGTAGGTCAGGAAGCAACAGTTAGAACTGGACATGGAACAACAGACTGGTTCCAAATGTGAAAAGGTGTACATTAAGGCTGTATATTGTCACCCTGCTTATTTAACTTATATGCAGAGAACATCATGAGAAACGCTGGGCTGGAGGAAGCACAAGCTGGCATCACGTTTGCCAGCAGAAATATCAGTAACCTCAGATATGCAGACGACACCACCCTTATGGCAGAAAGCGAAGAGGAACTAAAAAGCCTCTTGATGAAAGTGAAAGAGGAGAGTGAAAAAGTTGGCTTAAAGCTCAACATTCAGAAAACTAAGATCATGGCATCTGGTCCCATGACTTCATGGGAAATAGATGGGGAAACAGTGGAAACAGTGTCAGAGTGATTGCAGCCATGAAATTAAAAGGTGCTTAGTCTTTGGAAGGAAAGTTATGACCAACATAGATAGCATATTAAAAAGCAGAGACATTACTTTGCCAACAGAGGTCTGTCTAGTCAATGCTATGGTTTTTCCAATAGTCATGTATGGATGTGAGAGTTGGACTGTGAAGAAAGGTGAGCGCCGAAGAATTGATGCATTTGAACTGTGGTGTTGGAGAAGATGCTTGAGAGTCCCTTGGACTGCAAGGAGATCCAACCAGTCCATCCTAAAGGAGATCAGTCCTGGGTGTTCACTGGAAGGACTGATGCTGAAGCTGAAACTCCAATACTTTGGCCACCTCATGTGAAGAGTTGACTGATTGGAAAAGACCCTGATGCTGGGAGGGATTGGGGGGCAGGAGGAGAAGGGGTCGACAGAGGATGAGACGGCTGGATGGCATCACTGACTCGATGGACATGAGTTGGGTAAACTCTGGGAGTTGGTGATGGACAGGGAGGCCTGGCATGCTGCGATTCATGGGGTTGCAAAGAGTCGGACACGGCTGAGCGACTAAACTGAACTGAAACATAGTATTAAGAAGTGTGTTTCAACAAAAGTTTAGTTTTATATGTAATACCACATTTACAATCAATTTATATATGACTTTGATACATTTGTAGGCTTCCCTGGTGGCTCAGATGATAAAGAATCTGCCTACAATTTAGGAGACCCAGGTTCCATCCCTGGGTAGGGAAGACACCCTGGAGAAGGGGATGGCTACCCACTGCAGTTTTCTTGCCTGAAGAATCCCACTGACAGAGGAGCCTGGCGGGCTACAGTCCATGGGGTCACAGAGAGTCGGACAGGACTGAACCACTAACACTTTCACTTTCATTCTTTGATATATTTGTATTCCAATTAATATGTTTGTAAATCTAGAGGATTTTGATCACAAGATAGTAAGTATATGTGTATACATTTATTTATAAATATATTTTGCTGGACACATGGTCCATAGAAATTGCATGGCACAAACAGATACTGCATTAAGGACACAATTATGTGGGAAACGTAGAGTTCACCCAGACCCGGAGTTCAGTTCCTAGTGTTCAGACGTCACTGGATGCATATAAAGGGTGATGTCACAGCTTTATTCTGAGTCAGTCTTTATGTCAGAAGTTGTATCTGTTTCAATCACTTAAGCCAAGACAAATTTTGATGTCAAGCTAAAAAACGTCACGATCCGAGCTCTTGTGGAGAAGCGTGGCCGGCGCAGAGGCGCGAGCGACCTTGGAGGAGGCGCCATGGGGGCGGGGCCTGGTGTGGGCGGGGCGGGGCGGGCGCGCGCCCTGAGGTGGCCCCGCCCACGCCCAGTTATCGCGAGAGCGGCGCGCGCTGACGCGCGGGCGGGCGGGGCGCGTCGGGGGAGCCGGCGGGCGGGTTTGAATCTGGTCAGAACGCGGGAAACGGTGGGTCCCGGGGCCGAGGTGAGAGCTGCGGGGTCGGCGGGCGGAGGGCTGGGGGCGGGGGACCGGGAGACGGCGGGCTCGGTCGGGTCGGCTCCCTAGCACCGCAGCCTCCGCGTGGGCCGCGATCTGAGCCCGCGGCCCGGCCGGGGCTCTGAGGTGGCCGGGAAGGCGGGCGCCGGACTTGGAGCTCGCCACACTCCGCGCCTGTTCCCCCGGGACTGAGTTCAGAGGCCCCGCAACCTGGGCCGGGCTGACCCCGGGCAGAAGCCCCTGAGCCCGGACCGGGGGCTGACACTGGGGAGGGTCCCCTGAGCCCGCACAGGGGGCTGATCCCGGGCAGGGTCCCCTGAGCCCCAGACCAGGGGCTGATCCCGGGCAGGGTCCCCTGAGCCCCGGACCAGGGGCTGATCCCGGGCAGGGTCCCTTGAGCCCCGGACCAGCGGCTGATCCCGGGCAGGGCCCCTGAGCCCTGGACCAGAGACTGATCTCAGAGATCAGTTCTCTGAGCCTTGTGCCCTGGGAAAACTGTCCTCAGGTGTCTCTCCTAGTTCTGAGATGAATGGTTGGCTCGAGGTGACAGGGGTTTTCTGCGGTGACAACGTGACAGGAGTCTTTCTTAAATGCTCATCTTAATTCAGTGCCAGACCTCCTGTGCACAGAGCACCCTGCCATTGGGACGGTAGTTGCATGTCGAGGTGATCTCTCCTAGAAGGTAGCTCTGGTTGGAGGGGCGAGGCCTTGTGCACATAGTAGTGGTTGGTCTCTCTGAGAGAGACTGAGAGAAGTTGGAAAATTAATTACCCTTAAATAACTACAATGACAGTGCCAGAGAGCAAATGGGGGCTATGGCAGTGAATCTGGTTGTCTACTGGAAGTGGATTACTGTGGAAATTACACTTGGAAATAGAGCAAACCAGAAAAGCTACTGGAATCACAAATAAGCAAGGTCCCCATTTTAACCTTTTTTGGAATATTGTTCATTTAAACTCTTGAACTGAAACTAGTCATCGTCATGCATCAAGCTTGTTGCTGGCGGCTCTCCTGCCTGCTTGGCAGGTCAGAAGTCAGGCCCATCTCTCAGCCATCTGAGTTCAGGGCTGAGGCGGCCACACTTTAGTGTTACTTATGTGGAGAAGTTATTTCCTCTTCTTGTTGTTTGATTTAAATGCTAAGATCTTGGGGTTCTGCATTTAAGATGACTCTGTCCTGGTAATTGTTGCCATTGGTACCAGTAATTTTCCCTGTTGCTCTACTTGTGACTGCAGGAGGTTTTCATTTATTTTTAAGGTAAGTGTCCTGCTACATGTATGTTTCATCATTTTGCAGTTGCCTCATGATGTCTTTCGAATCAGGTGCTGCAAGCACTAGGTGGTGTAAATGGAAAATAGGATTTTTAGAGGAGACAGAGCGCCTGAGCTCTCGTCCCGCGGGGTTGGGAGGGCTGCACCTGCTGTGCACACTAACAAGCCCCCAGGGGCCCCACGGCCACACTGCACTGCAAGGCGGCTGACAGGGGTTCTCTTGATGCAGGACTGGTGCTTGAGGAAGGAGAGTCCTCAGGCGTTAGCAGCCAGGCTCAGTCTGATCTTTGCTGAGCTGCCTCAGACCTGAAGGAGCATCTTGTGAAGGTCCTAGAAAGGGAGAGAAGGTGAGCCTTCGAGAGTTGTTGGATTTCTCTTTCCTTAGTTGGTAGCTTCATTAACAATCAATGAAAACATGATGTTATATTGATACTGTTCTCAGTGAAGAAAAGAAGAAGTTATTTTTATTTATTTTTAATTATTTTTTATCGAAGTATAGTTGATTTACAATGTTGTGTTAGTTTCTGCTGCACAGAATCAATTGTACACTTATCCACTCTTAGTCTGTTTCCCATGTATGTCATTGCAGTGTTGAGTAGAGCCCCCAGTGCTATAATTAGGCTCTTACTAGTTGCCTTTTTATATACAGTAGTGTGTATATGTCAATCCCTTTCCTCCTTGGTAACAAAGTTATTTTTTAGATGTTATAGTTTGTTTACGTCAGAATATTGTTAGAAACTGTCTATCACAGGTAGTGTATGGATTTTCTTGCAGTTTTGAATACTAACTATGATTGTGTGTTTTACTAGTGTTGCAGAATAAATGCCATATGAAAAACAGTTTGATCTGCTATGGAAAAACGTGAGACATTCATACAAGCAGTATCTAAGGAGCTGATTGGAAAATTTTTGCAATTCATTCAACTTGATGTAAGTTTTATGTTTAGCTTTATTGTGATTTTGACTGTTAATATAAGACGTTTTGCTAAAATCATTATATCCACAAGTGAAATATAGTCATTTCAGTGAATCCGTACGGACCAAGGTGTATTTAAAAACGTAAAGCAAAACTATACACAAATAGATCTGCCTATGGGCAGCTACTCACAAACAATGTTTCCTGTTTGCTTTAAGAGGGTTGTTGTGAGGATGCTAAGTGGCGTAACACAAGATGTTTATAATTACTTACTTAAATATTTATTAATTTCTTGTTCTGTGCATGGCATTTTGAGGAAGATATCCTTTTTTATCCTTAGTTTATTTACAGTGTTGTGATAAATCCAGGTGTGTAAATACAGCAGGGTCAGGGAGGTCTGGCGTGCTGCGATTCATGGGGTCGCAAAGAGTTGGACATGATTAAGCGACTGAACTGAAGTGAACTGAAGGGCTAAACTGGGGCAGAGGTGGAGAGGGACCCAAATTTAGACATGGGATGTTCCCCATCCCAGTGAAAAGGCTGTGGAGCCGAGGATCTAAAAGGTGAAATTAGTTAAGCAGTCAGACAGGGGTATGGAGAAGGACTGCTCTAACCAACAGGGTTAATTCTGAAGACTGGAGAAGCACCTTGTGCTTGAACTTAGAGATGCCTGGTGTGAAAACACCAGCTGAGGAAGAAGGCAAGAGGTGACACCTGGAATGAGGCCTCGCCCACTCTGAGGGGTTGAGGCTGTCCTGAGAGGAACAGGGACTTTTAAGCAGAGAGTGACCTGTGTGCAAAAGGATGAAAGAGGGAGAGAAAGACAGAAAGAGGACTCGCCTTTTGGGAATATTCCTTTGAACATGAAGAATAGATTGAAGGGAGCTGAATGCTGGAGAGTGAGGGAGAGACACAGGTCGAGTCTGGGCATGGACGTGGGAGGGGTCAGCCCGGGTGCGCTGCCAGTGACCGGCTGTGGGCTGGGGAGGAGCCCGGGTTCCTGAGTGCACGTCTGTTCAGCGAGGTCCTAAGTAGGAAGAGGGCAGGCTTGAGGGAGGAGATGGCTCATGTGGGACGTGCTGAGAGGCTCCAGGACGCACGCGTGAGAGGCGTGCAGGAGGAGGTGGAGAGTCAGGCCTGGAGCTAGGAGCAGCTCTGGGCTGGAGGCAGGCTCGGGGGCATCAGCTCCGGCTGGGATGCGTGGGATCATCTACGCAGTATAATAGGAGAAAGGCCTAGGACTGACTTTGGAAGACCCCAGCTTTAGGGCCCCGACTCTAAAGTACTGTGACCTCGGGGCACGTGACACATACCTCACTTGTTCTGATCATGCAGTGAAAATCAAAGTAGTGACAGCTAAGAATTGCATGGAGATTGCGGGAGAGAATTCTGGACAAAAGTAGTGGGAAAGACAAAGACCCCTGGACCACTCGGATGGGTTCCGCGGAGAGGTGGCTGGTGGGCTGGGGTTGAAAGGTGGCCTTGCTTGTCTGTCCTGCCTCGAGAGTCTCTTTGCTCCAGAGTTCTGTGGCGCCCCCCTGCCCCACCCCCACCTGCCGTGACTGACAGTCTGGAAGCTGCAGACAGCTGCTATGCGGCCTGTCCTTCCCTTGCCCTAGTTTGTACGTTTGTGCGTATGGAGGGGCTACTTGTGTAAGCATGTCATGACCTCCTTGGTGAGGCACGTGGTGTTGATTTGTGTCATTGCTGGTTCATTGGTATTCCCACTTTTATAGGTAACAAGTGGTCTGTAGGGAAATGGGCTTCCCAGGTGGCACGGCGGTAAAGAGCCCACCTGCCAGTGCAGGAGATACAGGAGACGTGGGCTCGATCCCTGGGTCGGGAAGCTCCCCTGGAGGAGGAGATGACAACCCACTCCAGTGTTCTTGCCTGGGAAATCCCATGGACAGAGGAGCTTGGTGGGCTGCTGTCTATGGGGTTCCAAACACTAAGCGACCAACCATGCACGCATGCTGGGGGGAAGTAGATTGAGGCTAGGTAAATTCTTTTCTCCTCATCCAACTTCTGCCCATTGGAAGAAAACAAAAAGATGAAATACCACTGTCTCCCACCAGACTGAAAATACTATGTGTTGGGGAGATGTGGAATATTTGAAAATTTCATCACTGCTGGGAATGTGGAAACCGCTACACCATTTAGAGTAATAAATATATATTCAACTGATAATGTTGAATGTTTACAGACTCTTCAGTTAGCAATCCATTTTTTATTTAGTCCTTAAATAAGAGCCATGTGAAACAATGTTCTTGGCAGTGTTTTTGTGAAATAGCCAAAACCCAGAAACAACTAAATAGTGATCAACAGAAGAATGGATAAATGTATTTTGTTATGTTTATGCAATGGAAAACTCTACAGAAGTAAAAACGAAACTGTATGGAAATGAAATGAAACTAAACGAACTATCATGACATGCAGTGTATGGATGAGCATCACTAAATAATGTTGGGCAAGAGAAGCAAGATATGAAAGAGCGGACACCTTGTGACCCAATTCTCTACCAAGTGGAAAATAGATCTATTTATAGGGCATGGTTTAGGGATGCAGATGGTGGTGAAGTTATCAAGAAAAGCAAGGCAGTAATTACCATAAATGCTAAAGAAACTGGGGAGGGGAGGAGGCAGCCCTGGAGGGGTGGTGGAGACACGTGGCTTTATTTACCTGCAGTCACACTTAGTGTGCTTTTCCATATGTGTATGTCACAATATCTTTAAAATATATTGATAGTTGGTGTTTCTTGCCTGAATCAATTATTACTCTCATCACTACAAAATTGTAATTTTCCAGTCCCAAATTGCTGCTGTATTTATTTACTGCTATTAATAGCATGCCAATGCCATTAGTTAATTATTGATTAGTTATTGGCTGTGTGTGCATGTGCAGTTGCTTCAGTTGTGTCTGACTTTTTGTGATGCTGTGAACTGTAGCCCGCCAGGCTCCTCTGTCCATGGGATTCTCCAGGCAAGAATACTGGAGTGGGTTGTAATGCCCTCCTCCAGGGAATCTTCCTGACCCTGGGACTGAACCCATGTCGCCTGCATCTCCTGCACTGTATGCGGATTCTTTACTGCTGAGCCGTTGGGGATGCCCAGTTATTAGCTACTATTTATTATCAGTATGGTCTCATTGGTTTTTATTTTATTCAAAGAGTTATAATCCCTTACTGTGGCTGTTGTGGTGCTCAGGTTGTACCAGGTTGGATACAGGGACAAAGTCAGGGCCCAAGACTGGTCGGAGACCAGAAGCTCAGCTTGCAGTCCTTGGCATGGCTGTATTATTACTGTTGTGGCTCTTTCTGTTACTTGAGCTCTGGCATGCACTTGTGACCAGATTTCAGGCCTGGAGATGGAGGATGTCGGGGGGGACTGATGTCGGGGGCAGTTTTGCTAGGGGGTGAAGAGGAGTATACCAGGACTGACTGGGGCAGAGGATCTGCTGCTTTCTGTCTGATCATTCCTGTCCTCTGCCTCTTAGGACTGGATTTCAAAAACTACAGCCCAACTCTTGAATTTGAAACTTAGCTATTAGCACTTAAACTTCTTCTGATGCCATTATAAAGAAGATAGAACTGTTTTCTTGTATTTGAAATGTGACAGTTGCTGTTTATTTTGCAGAAGGATACTTGTGACCCGTTCAACCTAAATGAGTTGATAGATGAATTATCAAGGAAGCAGAAAGAAGAACTATGGCAAAGGCTCAAGAATTTGCTAGTAGATGTGTTGCTGGAGAGCCCAGTGGAGGGGTGGCAGACAGCAAAAGCCTCCAGTGAACACAGTATGAAAGTAGAGCAGGGTTCAAAGATGGTAACCCTCGTCCTTCAAAAATAAATTTCCTTTTTCTTATTAAAAAAGTAATTGTTTATTGTGTATAATTGAATTTTATATTGTTAAAATTAAAGTCAGAAACAGTAGAGTACCAGAAGCCTATTTAATGTAGTTATACCTTTTTCAGTCCTACCGTTATTTACGTGGTATTCAGGGTTGCTCTTTTCAAACTGCTGACCTGTGTTCAGCTTTAATTAACTTTTTAGAATAAGTGTCAAGTGTGGCTTTATTTTCATAAATTTAGTAAGTTTTACATTTAAAATTAAATTTTAAGTTGATTTTAACTTACTTGTGCTTTGATTTTTTTTTTTTTTAAATTTATAGCATGGAAACATAGAAATAATCCATGCAGTTACATCTGTGATTCTTGCTTCTATGTCGGTAATAAATGAAAGAGAGAACTATGAAGCCTTACTGGAGTGTGCTGTTATATTAAATGGTAAGTTGACTTTGAAATAACGTGGGGATGTGAACAAGTGCTGTGTCTGAGTGACACTCAGTAAAAGGAAGCCCCCAGCAGTGGAGAAGCAGAGCTCTTGTACTTCAGCTGGGAAAAACGAGCAAAGGAGCACTCTTTTATGGGCCGTCCTGTGTAATTATTTCATGTGAGCCACATATAAATGTTTCAGATGGTGAAAATGTGCATTACTGGACAGCTGATTGCTATTTAGAGGTTTTTTAGAAATGTGTTATTTGAACCTTCGGGACCAGTAAGAGCTGATAAAGGGGAAGCAGTCACTGCAAGCTCCTCAGCTGGCGGTTTACTGCCCGGCAGTTCGAGGCGGCCCAGCACTGTGACACTGCACTCTTCTCTTTAACTGTGTCGTGAATGTGGCCTGGGGAGCAGTTGTTGACCCCTCCTACTCGAACATTCCTAAGTCGGCACTCTTCTAGTTTTACCTGAACTGTGAAGTGACAGTTATGAATTTAGTAGGGGCACTAGTCTGAATTTATGAGGAGATCTGATCATATAATACTTGAATGAAATTATAGCTATAAGAGATGCAAAGATAGCTTTGAGTGATTTTTTTTTTCAAGAAAAATCTCACAGGTCCCCTCACCTCCCACTGTGTGAATCTGATTAGTTCCCTAATCAGAGCCACTTGGCTTATGTATTGGTTTAGTATGCTCTTTTATTCAGAATTCTTATGTTGAATTACTGTCTTATTAAGATTACCCAGTCAGTATGAAAGGAGCTGCCAGATGCTTGTGGGTGTTACCACCAGTTCATTCTCAGTCTCCAAACATGCTTTATAAAATTCCCCATTAATTCAGGAATTTTACTTTAGAGTAATGGCTGTCAGATGTCTGGATTACAGTTACAAGCACACTGTCAGTATTTTAATTTAGTTCTTGAGCTCTTTTGTTAATAGCACTACAGCTTTTCTATTCATTATAATAGTTGCTTTTACTATTTTTCACCAATGAGCCAGAACTTGAGGCCAACAAGCTGAGGGGTAGTTGTGGGGTAGCTGGTCACTCGGCCTGCCCTGGCTCAGCTGTTTAGTGTTGCCATGGGTGTCCCTGCACTCGGGTTTGGAGCCTCTTGTCGTTCAGAGTTTGGACAATAGGACCTGTTGGTCTTCTAAAATTCCCTGTTCTATTGGGCCTGCTTTTACAATAGTGGTGGAACAGTTTTTAGTTAACATTGCTTGTATGGTATAAATGTGTAGATGTCTTGGTGAGTTAAACTGATGTCTGCTGGGCGCACCTGTGAGTCACATGCTCTCCCAGGTTGGGTCTGGACTAGCCCCGGTTCACTGCATGCACTCACTGTGCAGTGCCTGCTCTGTTGCAGGAATTTTGTACGCGCTGCCAGAGTGTGAGCGAGCGCTGCAGGGCTCCATCCAGGACCTGTGCGTGAAGTGGTGGGAGAGAGGCCTGCTCGCCAAGGAGAACATGGGCAAGACTGCCTTCGTCATGCTGCTGAGGAGGAGTCTCAGGACGAAAACAGTGCGTTCCCTTTCTAAAGTACACGCTGTGCTTTGCTGAGAAGTACACGCATTTATACCAGTTAGGAGTTATGTCTGCTTGCGAGAGGCCTGGCCCAGTGGCTCCCAGTCGGGGTTTTTCACAGGGTGGTTCTCAGAGGTGGGCGGTTAGGGTGGGCAGAACTCACGTGCGTGCATTGTGCACAGACTCTCTCCCTGTCTTCCTTGGTGTGTGACCTGTGGAAGGCTGTCCCCTCGATGGGAACTGCTCTAGGGAGAACCAAGGGGGCGGGGTGTCAGGGAGAGCCTGCTGACCTGAGTTGGTGGGCAGGAGGGCGGCCCAGGCCTGTGGAAGCTTCGGCGGGCCAGCAGGAAGCAAGGTGAGCGCAGGATATAATGCATCTTTCAGTCTTTGGCATGCAACTCAGAGATCCAGAAAAAGAACAGCTTTCTCCTCTGATCAAATAACAGCAGATATTTATGTTCATCTTAGAAAACTGGGCAAATGAAGAAAAGGGAAAATGAAAAAAAAAAAAAACAAAAGTCATCAGTAATTCCACTGCCAAGGTGACCCTTGTGAATTGAGGGATCTTTGGGGGTTTCTCTTTGCCCTCCCCCTACACCTTTGCTGACTTGCTGCAGATTCCTACAAGTGAAATTTGTAGGTCAGTGGATTTGAACTTGGAGCTCTCGGTACAGATTGCCAGCAGCTTTCTATGTACCTTGCAGCTGATCCCGTTCTTACCTCCTGTGGGACAGACTGTCCCACGGTGGCCTCCAAGGAGCAGTCAATTTCACAGCAGAAAAGAATCTTTTTGACTGCATCCTCAGCTCGCACTCTGACTCCCTGCTGGCCACAGGAGTGATTGAAAAATTGTTTGTGTCAGAACTCATCCAAAGCCTTGGTTTGCCTTTTTAAAATCCATTTTCCCTGCCATTCTTGTTCACCTTTAAAATCAAGACTTTATTTAGACGTCTGCACTTGTGCCGTTTACCACAGTAGCCACCAGCCACAAGGCCGATTACATTTCCAGTTAAGAACGTTAAAGGTCTGTTTCCTGGCGGCACAGTCCTGTAGTGGTCGCCTCGTACCCTGCTGTGGCTCAGGCTCTGCACGTTCAGTGCAGGTTCACCTCCTCGTTGTCAGCATCTCTGCTTGCTTTTGCCTGGGTTTTAGGATAATGCTCTTTGGAGCTTCATTTGCAAATTTTAAAATGTTTTCTTTTGTCATTTTTTTCTTTTTTGATGACATAAAATAGTCTCATAGTTAATTTGAAATGTGACCTTACCCATTATTTTTTTTAAAAAATTAGTTGATTTTCTTTTCCTGTCATCCCCAGGGTGCAGACATATGTCGGCTGTGGCGTATCCATCAGGCTTTATATTGCTTTGATTATCATTTGGAAGAAAGTAGAGAAATTAAAGACATGCTGCTTGAGTGCTTCATAAATGTCAATTACATCAAAAAAGAAGAGGCAAGTGGTTTTTCATCGTGGTGTGTTTGTGAACTGCTTTTTAAAAAACTAATTTATTTTCTGACTGCTCTGAGTCTTCGTGGCTGCATGCAGGGGCTATTCTTCGTTGGAATGTGTGGGCTTCTCAGAGCTTCTCTTATTGTGGATCATGGTCTAAGTTGGTGTGCAGCATGTGGGGTTTTCCTGGACCAGGGATCGAACCCATGTTCCCTGTGTTGGTAGGCGGATTCTTAACCACTGGAGCACCAGGAAAGTCCTGTGAGCTGCTTTTTGATGGAAGTTTTTCCTAAGTTCGTGAGTTTGCTATTTGCATCATGCTCAGTATTTTAATAAAAGAATCAGCTTAACTGTCAAGCGCTGTTATATTTGTTGCAATTCATATTTACTGCATGGCAGTGTTAAGCAAACATTTTACAAGTCATTGTGTATTTCATCATTAAAGGAGATGGTAACAGGTGGCTGTGTGAATCCTGGGGGAATCATGATTGCATTTTAAATTAAAAATGACTAAAAATAAGGTTGAGAAGGCACTTCCCCATGGATCACATCTGACCCTCTGCCCTAATTCCAGGTTAATTGGCATATAACTCAGAGCTGTCATCACAGGATTCTTGGTTTTTTCATACCCATCCAGTAAATCCAAAGCGAGGTTCCTGGCCCAGTGCTCCACTGGCCGGCAGTCATCACTCCCACACTTGGCTACTGAGCACATGAAATGTGGCCAATCCAGCTGTGGTCTTAAATGTAAAATACATAGGCATTTGAAACTTGATATGGAAAAAGAATGTTAAATATCACATTAATAATTTTTGTGTATTTATTACATATCTAAATGACACTTTGGATATATTAGATTACCTAAATACATTATTAAAGTTAATTTAATCTTTTTTACTTTTATTAATATGGCTATTGGAGAATTAAAATTACAGAGTGGCTTGCCTAGCTCTCTTGGACATGCTCATCTGTTATCTTTAGAGTTTTCTGTACTTGTTTTATTTTTTTAAGAAGCGCTGAGAACATGAGCCTCTCAATAATTTGTTGTAATTTTGGGTAGAGTTTTAGATGTAGAAAAGAATTATTATGTATTTGTTTTGGTTCCCCTGGCCTTGTTGCTGCCTGGACTCTCTCTGGTTGCGGTGGGTGGGGCTGCTCCCCAGTGTCGGCGTGCAGGACTGTCGCTGTGGCGGCTGCTGCTACTGCAGGGCATGTGCTCCGGGGCACAGGCTCAGAGTTGTGGTGCACGGGCTTGGTTGCCCCATGGCATGGGGTCTTCCTGGACCAGGGATCAGGCTGTGTCTCCCACACTGACAGCCGGATTCGTTACCACTGAGCCTCCAGGGAATCCCCTCTGTGGTCTTTTTGTTCATTGTTTTGTCACTCAGTCACGTCTGACCCCTTGCGACCCCACGGACTGCAGCACGCCAGGCTTCCGTGTCCTTCAGTGTCTCCCAGAGTTTGCTCAAACTTATGCCCATTGAGTCAGTGATACCATCTAACCGTCTTATCTCATCCTCTGTCACCCCCTTCTCCTCCTGCCCTCAATCTTTCCCAGCATCAGGGCCTTTTCCAGTGAGTTGGCTGTCCGAATTAGGTGGCCAAAGTATGGGATCTTCAGCATCAGTCCTCCCAATGAATATTCAGGGTTATTCCTTTAAGATTGACTGGTAGTCTTTTTAGATTGACTGTATTTCCATGTTGGAAATACACAAAGCACATTGTTTTTGATATAGAATATAGCCCTGTTTCTAACTGCTTGTGGCCTGGCAGACATGATTTGAGGCAAAAGGGGGCAGCGGTCACCCATCCCTGAAGGAGGTGTGGGGAAGGACTCCCCAGAGGAGGAGGGCCCCCTGAGGAACTTGCTCAGGCCTCACACTCACGGTGGGGCGCGGCACGGTTTGGCCCCAGCGTGCCCGCTCCCCATGCACCCTCTCACTGGTGACACCGAAGGGCTGGACCTGATTGCTGCCCACACTGGCCGAAACCTGCAGCTCTGGGGGTCAGAAAGGCTGTGTTCAGACCCTGGTGTCCACTGAACAGGTGGCGGGTCGCCTTGATCATATGCCGTTCAGCCTCAGCTCCTTCTGTAGCGCAGGAGCAGCGGCCGCCGTCTCCCAGGGTCCCCTCGGGGGCACACGGGGCCTTTCACAGGGCCCTTGGCGCCCGCCTGACAGGAGATATGCTGACTGCTGTTGCTGCTCTGACGTTGTCATTGTTGGAGGGTCCCTGGGCCTCTGCCCTGGGCGTCCAGGGTGGGTGTGAAGTTTGGGAGAGTAAAGTATAGAGTGGATTCAGACACCCTTTATATAGACTTACACATGTGTGTGTTAGTCGCTTAGTTGTGTCCAACTCCTTGCAACTCCATTGACTGTAGCCCGCTGGGCTCCTCTGTCCACGGAAATATACATAGCAGTGGGCAAATTGCACTTGTTTAACACACACACGCACACACATATATGCAAATATAGATGTAAGTGGTCTTTCCCAGGTGCCTCAAGTGGAAAAGAATCTGCCTGCTAGTGCAAGAGATGTGGGTTCTATCCCTAGGATGGAAAGATCTCCTGGAGGAGGAAATAGCAGCCATTCCAGTATTTTTCTGTGGGAAATCCCATGGACAGAGCAGCCTGGCGGACTGTAGTCTGTGGAGTTGCAAAGACTTGGACATGATTTAGCGAATGAGCACTTTAGACATAAATATATATGTGTGTTAAAGCTCCCTCTTTTTAGAATTTGTGTTCTCTTTTGAATTTAAGATAGCTGAACCTAGTTTCCTAATCAGTTATTAATTTGGTCAGGTAAGTTTCCAGTCATTCTAGGTAAATGATAAACCTCTTCTGGACTCTACTGGCAACTTATTTCCAGTAAACACTTTTTAAAAAACTTGCCTGTCAAAGCATGATGGCCCTGCCATTTGCCTCAGAGTGTGTGGCCCCCCGCCTGTCCTGCTGCCCAGCTTGGCCCCTCCCAGGCCCCAGCGCTGTCCCCACACAGGACTCCCCTTGACCTGCTGTGCCCGCCCGCCGTTCTGAGTTAGAAGTGTGGGCGCTTCCTTTGTTGGGAGTAGCGAACTTCGGTACTAGTTACTACACTTTCAAAGAACTGTTTGTTTTCAGTTACTGGGAACTTTTTATTTGGTTGCAATTTTAACATTACATCCTATTTTTAATTTATAGGGAAGAAGATTTCTTAGTTCTCTCTTCAATTGGAATATAAATTTCATTAAAATGATTCATGGGACCATTAAAAACCAGTTACAGGGATTACCAAAGTGAGTATTAAAAACAATTAATATTTTGTGCTTAGTCTGGTTTTGAAAGTTTCTATTTGGCCTGACTTTGGTCAGGTCAACTTTTAGGGGCTTCCCTGGTGGCTCAGATGGTAAAGAATCTGCCTGCAGTGCAGGAGACCTGGGTTCGATCCCTGTGTCGGGAAGATCCCCTGGAGAAGGGAATGACTACCCTCTCCAGTATTCTTGCCTGGAGAGTCCCATGGACAGAGGAGCCTGCTGGGCTGTAGTCTATGGGGTCACAGAGTCACACATGACTGAGTGACTAACATGACAATGATGATGATTAGAAGCTTTAGAAATTATCTCTTAAGTTATTATTTATTATGTACTGTTGCATTACTGAATACTTATTTTCCTTGCTATAGGAAACCATTCTTTTTCAGTAGTGACATTGAAATTAAGACTTTACTTTGTGGTAGTTCTTTACATAGACTGTTCACCAGTTCCATCTCAGCCTCAGTCGTAGTAAAGTTCATGTGACTAGCACGTCTGATCCTTTGGGTGCGTGTGCACACTGCAGTCTCCCGAAGGCGGAGCCCTTGAGGAGGGGCTCTCTGCCGATTTCCCAGCCTCTGGGCCCTGGCAGCATTTGGAGCTGTTTGCCGCATTCGAGGTCAAGTCCTTAACCTGCTGTGGAATTTTCAAATCTTCTATCCCGTCAGGCGGCTGTGTGAGAACTGAGTTGGGACTCCATGCTGGATCTCTGATTGTTCACTGGAATGCTGCCTCCTCTCCCCTCATTTGCACAATATTTGGGTTGAATCAGCAGATTTTCGTCATTATGAGTCTAAGTCATCCCTGGTATTTTAGGATTCCCTGTACCTGAACTAATTAGTCTCGAATGACTCCAAGTTAAAGTGTATTTATATTTCAACTTTTTATATTTATAGTGTGTATTTGAAATAAATTTATCTCTAAAGTTTTTTACTTAAGAATTTGGTTCTGGGCATATGTGTCATAGTTTCGCAGAAAATAGTAAAGTTCTGGGGAAGCAGTGACTGAGAAGGAAGAAGTTGTTTGACATTTCAGTCCTTCTCCAGTCTAGTTTCTGCTTCCTGCTCCAGGCAGACAACCTGTCTCTACTTTGCAAAGCACTATTGTAAAACAGTGTCTTCTTCCCTGGCAGAGGAGAGTACCTGAAATGATACATGTGAAATATATAACTCTTCAAACTTGTGTTAAATTTTTTTTTTTTTCAGATCTTTGATGGTACTCATTGCGGAAATTTATTTCAGAGCTTGGAAAAAGGCTTCAGGGAAAATAATGGAGGTATTTCCTTTCTGTTTTATGAAATGTTAGCACATTTTTATTGTGTTCTGGTTTCTAAGTAAGTAGCCACAATAGGGCTGTTTGAAACCCTTGTTTGTGCCTGCCTGTCAAGCCAAAGCTCATAGTGAGCATCCCCATGACAGAGGCGTGTTGTCGTCCACACCTACTCAGGTCACGTCCACACCGGGCACCGCCTCACGATGTCCCTCACTCACCACGACGTGCGGTTTGAGTGGAACCAACTCTTTTGCCCATTTTGGCAGCTCTGGGCCTGTAGTGTCCGACCACGTATATCTGCCGGGCCTTTAGAACGTGGCCAGTCCAAACTGAGATAGGCTGTAAATGTAAGAAACTAGACAGTCTGGAAAAAGACGAATGCGAAGTGTCTCATGGATATTTTAAAAAGAATACTGATTGCATGTTGAAATGATAGTGTATTGGGTAATTGGGCTAAACAAAATATTATTAAAGTAAGTTTGCCTTTTTTTCCCCGTTTTTAGTGTGACCACTGGAAAGTTTAAAATTGCATTTGTGGCTGATGTTGTGTTTCTGTTGACCAGTGCTCCTTGGGAGACTCAGGCCATCTCTTCAGCAACATAATTTGAGAATTTAAAGACATTTGTTTGAATCAGGCTTGGAACCTTTAATGACTAGCACCTACCTTCTGGCTGTGTAATTCACAATTAAACATTCATAGGCTCTTTTGGAAAAAAAAGAAAGTGTTTGATATCCCTTATTTTTTTTTCATACTAGGTTCTTAGATGTGTTTTTTTCCTTCTGAGAGCAAAATTTTTACTCTGAGTCATAAAGGGGTCTTTTCTCCTGGGGGAGCAGGCCCTGGATTGGTGTCAGGGCAGAGGGGAGGCTAACCACCTGATGTTTGTAGTTTATTTCTGTTCACTCTGCTCTCTTGCCCAGCTTGAGCTTCAGTTAAATATGCTGTGAGTTATCACTGATGTCTGCTTCTAGGAAACAAAAACTTACCATTCCTGTTCTCCTGTAGACAACTTCTACAATAGTTTTTCAATGTATAATTTTTGGGGAAGTGGCAGAACCAGGATGTTCTTACGCATTTTTTGCATTGCTCTGTACTCCATGAAACTGTTCGTAGGAAGGAGTATTTGTTCCCCTTTTCTCTAGCAGTGATTTAAAACATAGGAGTTTGTGATTTAAAATGTAATTGTCTAGATCTGGACCAAATTAGTATCAGAAATTTGTGCTTCTCAGTTTTACTCCCTTCCCTCTGTCCCTTCAAGTTTTTAAAGCAAATTCCAGATGTGACACCTCACTCTTGTGTACTTCAGGATGCATCATCTCTAAAAGGTCTGGTTATACAGTGCCATCATCATGCTTACTTTGTGACCCCTATGGGCCAGTAGTCCGCCAGGCTCCTCTGTCCATGGGATTCTCCAGGCAAGATTACTGGAGTGGGTTGCAGTTTCCTTTTCCAGGGGATCTTCCTGACCCAGAGATCGAAGCCAGGTCTCCTGCATTGTGGGCAGATTCTTTACCGTCTGAGCCACCAGGGAAGCCCAATACTAATATTTAAACTTCTCTGCTTTGTTTAAAAAATATCTTCATTTTGAAGCCAGGATCCAACAAGTCTCCCAGTGGCATTTGCTTGTTACGTCATTTAAAGCCTTCTTCTGAAATGGCAACCCACTCCAATATTCTTGCCTGGAGACTCCCGTGGATGGAGGAGCCTCGTGGGCTACAGTCCACGGGGTTGCAAAGAGTTGGATACGACTGAATGACTTCACTTTCACTTTCTCTTTGAAAAAATCTCTGCTGTTGACATGTTGGCAAACCTGGTCAGTTGCAGAATGCCCGTGTTCTGGTGGTTAGCTCTCAAGGGTCAACTTCTGTGGCCCAGACGCCTAGCTAGTGGTGGGGTGAACCTCCTGTGTGATCACAGGTCGGGCAGCGTCGTTCCCGTGGGAGTCACGCTGAGACCGAGGGGTAGCTTCAGGGAGCGTTCCAGTTAATGGAGATGAGGTCAATGTTAGTAACGAGTCTCCCTCATGTCTTTCCCTACTGCCGTGGAGTCCTGGGAACTGCCTGTACAGCCCCTCACTGGGGTACCTCCAAGATATCTGTTTCTGTCAGTTTGGAATCCTGGCCCCCATCCTAGAGGTAGTTCAGTGTGAGTTCTTGGGTGGGGGGTGGGGTAAGCTCTTGGAAGAGATTCAGTTTTCTGAGATTATCAGATGAGTCAGGAGGGGTGCTCCCAGGCCCACCTTTGTCTCTGAGCCCTGTCTGGCTTGATCCAGGCTCGAGTGCCATGCAATTTGGTGCAAATGTGATATTTCTCCACATAAGATAAAAGAAAAGTTCTCTCTGTTATGTGCATTCTAAGAGGTGTAAACAAAATGGAAAAGCTCTGATGACAGGACCCTTTCCCCTCATGAATGGGAAGATGAGCTGATCAGACTGTCCTCTTGCGCTGTGACTCCTTCTCCACCTGTCCTGCTCTTCCGCTGGGATGCACTCACCCATGCTCTCCCGCCCGGCTGTTTCAGGCCATCGAGAACGACTGCATCCAGGACTTCATGTACCATGGCGTCCACCTTCCTCGGAGGTCTCCAGTGCACCCTAGAGTGCGCAAGGTGAGCCACACTCTTTCAGCACTTTTGAAAATTGTGTCTCATATTTTTGTTTTTAGAGAGTTGTTTCTGTGAAATTTTGTTAAGCTTTCACAGGCATCAGTTAAAGGAATTTTTCAGAATCTTGACATTTGGAATTCTGGGAGATCTACCTTGACACCAAAGTTTTGATTAGGAAAGCAAACATCTGTTGTTAAGACATCGGAACTTTATTCAGACAACCTTTAACTACATTCTTGGACATAAAAATGTCTAGAACCATCACTTTCTTACTGCCACTACTGCTGTTTTCAAAGAAGAGACTATTTGAGATTATTTTTATTGTTTACTTTCATATATTACATTTCCACTTTGTAGTCTGCAAACCATATTAAATAAATGTTTTGATAGTTTCTCTTGATACAATTTTGTTTTTAAAAGGTAGTCTCAGAATTTGGATATGAGTTTTATCCTCATGTTGTAGATGATCTGACTGAATAAGTCTCTGCTGTTGGTGTGGTTGTTGTCCTGACAGGAGTCTGATAAGCAGAGTTCCTGCAGGAGGACTTGGAAGCTCTGGTCGGCTGTGTGGGGCTGTGTCTAACCCCGGGCGAGGCCTCTATGCTGTCTGCTGGTTTGGGCAACTGCATGTCAGGAAGCTAGAGGAATAAAGATGAGGTGCCTGCTACTGTTTGTATAGTGGAGTCATTATTTGTAGGCGTGAATATTCTAATTATATTAAGTTTGAATGGATAAAAAATGTTTCTTACTATTGGTGATTTAGTTTGCATTATCCAAAGATAAAGAACCAGAGATGAAAATACATCCATGTGCTTTCTCCACCCTCCACCCCACCCAGCACACACAGTTCCTGGCACTTCGTAAATTGTAGATAGTTTGGGTCATTTGTTTCCTATGTATGATTTAATGTTCAGATTCTGCTTGATTGCAAGGAATGGTGTCGTGTTAAGCTGTACATATTTGTGATGTGGTTGCTTCACTGTTGCTACCAAATAACTGAAGAATTTCTCATGCCTGGTTTTCTGTTGTGATAGCAAGTAATGAAGATAAGTATGGGTATTGCTGTTTGTTAGATCTGTGGGAAATGCACAGCAAGAGCTGAAAGGTGGACTGTTAGATCTCACTGCTCAAGTGAAGTGTGTTCTTGGGCTCCAAGTCATTGTTCCTACTGCTTATAACGTGTTATAGCTTTTTCCTTGAATCCTGTTTTTGATAAATACCAAATTTACCTGTTAAATCACTTTATTGATATGTTGAAAGAAGCTTCAGAAAATACCTTAGAAGTCACTCGACAGTAAGAAATCCACATATTGTTGATGAAGATCTTCTGAAATTAGATAGTAGTAATGGTTGCACAACTCTGTGTATACTAAAACCCACTGAGTTACACACTTTGTAAGAGTGACTTATGGTCTATGAATTGTATCTCAATACAGTTGTTTAAAAACTTTCTATGAAGCAAGTATACCATTAATACCAAATTAACATTGTACACAGAAAACAAATGACAGATTGAAATCTCCTAAATGAAAAATTAACAGCCAGAAAAAGAAAATCCCTAGATTGTAGTTCTGTTGTTGTTGTTGTTCAGTCACTAAGTCGTGTCTGACTCTGCAACTCCATGAACTCCAGTTCTGCAGGCTTCCTTGCCCTTTATTACCTCCCGGAGTTTGCTCAAACTCATGTCCATCGAGTTGGTGGTTTGTAGTTCTTTTAGGGTGAAGTTGGTTGACGTTCACTTAAAGTCTGTTGTTTTATAGCGTAATTTATAAAAAATTTCTGTTTTTCACTAACATAACTTTGGCTCAGAGTTGTGAATTAAGGACAAAAGGCAACACTGATTGTTGTTGCGGACAAGAATCTGAAGAGCTGCAGGAAGGTCCTTGCTGGTTAAAGCAGTGTGTTTTCTGATTACCCATGACTCTGGGGGATGGACCTGACATCCAGGTTTCTCCTGGGAAGGATCACTGGGCAGTGACACCCCTTTGAGATGCAGTCGCCCCTCGCGGTCTGCAGGCAATCGGGCAGCAAACCCATGGATGCTCCAGGGCCTCTCTGAACACTTTCCATCATCTCTGAATCGCTTATACCCGGTGCAGTGTAAGTGCTTGTAAGAGGCTGTAAATCTGATGCGGTTATTACATACACAGTTGCCAGCAAGTGACAATTTCAAGCTTTGCTTTGAAACTTCTGGAATTTTTTTCCCTCAGATACTTTCTATCCACGCTTGGTGGAATCTGCAGATGCAGAACCCATGGATGTGAAGGGCTGACTCTACGCACCGTTCTGAATGCCCAAAAGAGGTTCTCAGAACAAGACAGTTGTAGCCAGTGCACTTTAGAGCCAGAATGGACTATAGGAGCAATTAGGCTGGCTCCTTTTCCATTTGACCCTGAAGATCAGAGGTGTGTCTTCTATGAGGTTTTGTGGCTACTGGTAGAAGAGTGGAAGTTGGAACCTGAACCTCTGTATGGCCCAAGGCCGTGGGTCTGTCTCTCCACCACAGGTGCCTTTGTGAGGTTGCCGTGTTCCGTGCTGTCAGCATATCTTTTTGTTGTGGTTCCCATTAGGAAGAACTGTGCATCCAAGACTTGTGAATGGAGGGGCAGCCTGTGCTCCCTGTTGTTTCCTCAAAGTAGGATCGTAAGTGCTTTTTTGAAAACACCAATGTTACTGTTCTTTTCTTCTTTTCTTGGCTCTTAGGTGCTGAGTTACTTTCACCATCAAAAGGAAGTTCGGCAGGGAGTGGAGGAGATGCTTTACAAGCTGTACAAGCCCATCCTTTGGAGAGGATTAAAGGTGTGCCTCTAACTGTCCGCGTTCAGGATGCTGAGTATGCCGTGGGGCTTAGCATCTTCTGATTCAGAATTGCAGTAAAGTAAGACTCGAGGCTGGGCCTGTGTGAGATTCTGAATGAATACTTGATGCTTTTATTGAAAGCATTTCCTAGACTGGGAATCTGAATGTATTTAGTGCTGGATGCACAGCTGGAGGAGGGTCTTCGCGCTCAGTAAGCCAGCAGGGGTGGTGTGCGCAGAGCTGGGCTGAGCCCTCCTGGCCCTGAGGGCCTCCTGCAGTGCCTGGGACCGCATGTGGGGGGTCGGACGAGCATGCGGGTCCTTTCAACGCAGGTGACTCTGCTCTGGGGGCAGGACATGACGGCCACTGATTCTTCATGGCACAGTGGACGTAGGTAGGGAAACGCCTCTGTCGACATGGAGCTGGAAGTTTGGTTTCATTTAAGGAAGCTCTCACAAGTTCGATTAGTTTAAATGTCACGGTTATCTTTAGTACGTAAATAGGAATCTGTCTGTGTTGAGACACTAGAAGCATTGCTTGAGGGATTCTGTGCTGACGCCTCTGACTGTCAGCTCTTTGGATTCTGAAACTCCTCTCCCCATTCCAGGCCAGAAACTCGGAAGTCCGGTCCAATGCTGCACTGCTGTTTGTTGAAGCGTTTCCTATCCGGCATCCAGGATTTAATGCCATTGAGATGGACAGCGAGATTCAGAAACAGTTCGAAGAACTCTACGTATGTATTCTTGTGGCCGGGCTCTCAGCCTGCAGCCAAGCCTGGGCCTGGGTGTCCCTGTGACTGCCCCGTGCGGCCTCCAGAGGGCAGTCTTTCCAGATCCTGCCGTTCTTCCAGGAACCTGGCTTTTCCCCGTGCCTCCTGTGGCAGCGAGGACTCGCAGGGTCTGTTTCCTCTTCCTCTCCGTCTCTTTTGGAACCTGCCGTTGTTTACTGTGCGTAGTCTGAAGTGTCTCATGTGTTGCCCCAGCAGAGAGGCCGTGTCACAGTGGTCGGGACGGAGCCCGGGGCTGGCCCCTCTGTCTGACAGCTGTGTACCTTGTGGCAAGTTGGGCACTGACGTGGTAGCACCTGTGTAGAGTGGGGCAGTGTCATGAACACACACACTAGTTAGCTTTTAAGGCAAGTAATGCCTCTGGCAGTGGGTTTTTTCCGATCTAGTGAGACGTTAGGACATCAGGTTGTGACATTTATTTCTGAGGGGTAATCTCCGATCTTTCACCTGGTAGGACAGTGTGAACCTCTGCTGATTTCTCTACAGCCCCTGGCATTTGCAGGGTCTCCTGACACAAGCTAAGAGATACTACCTATTGGCCTAGTTAGTAGAATAACATTTTAGGAAGGGATAGCAAAAATGGCATGATAGTGAAGGTCACCCATAGCTGTCCTAAAATACTTGCTTTGGTTTGTTTGTTTTCTGACACACTAAAAAACATATCAGGCATGCAGAAAGTTGAAATAGTAGTATAATTATAATGTCCTGCTTAACCTCTTCACATTTACTCACTTGTGCATTCACATTTCACCCACGGATACCACCCGCACACGCAAAGACACTCACCCCCCTGAAGTGAACCAGCAGCAGTGTTTTGCCAGATGTGCCTCATCCACACGTGTGTTTATTTAAAAGTCCCTTTGGGGATCATGGTTACTTTTGTGGACAAACGTTGCTGGGCAAACCACAACTAGATTTTGGAAGCTTTTAGCCATAAGACCATGAAAAACTTATGCTCTTTTTAGTTCAGGTGTCCAATCTGTGAAGCACTTGTGTCTACCTGAAGCATTGAAGATTCTACACTTGAATGCAGAGATGGAGTGTGTGCTGGAGGTCTAGCACCACCTCTCTTACATGGGATCTGCCACAGGTGCTTGGCCCCGGCGATGGGCCTGACCGTTGATGAGGAAGGTGTCGTCCCAGCCCACAGATGGGGAGGCAGTTTTCATGGTTGTTTAGAGTGTGGAGTCATGCAATTTGTTTGAATCCCAGTTCCCAATTAATGTCTGATTTTTCTCAAATTAACCTCTTTCAAGTCCTGTTTCTTCTTTAATACTGGAGAAAATATTTTATCAGATTGTGATAAGGTTCCAGTGAAAAATTGTATATAAAGCATTTAGCTCAATCCCTAGTGCTAAGGTGACAGTGGTTATAACTGTCCTAAAGGACATTACAATCTGTAAAATGATGTAACTGTCCCACAGAGTCCACTGTAACATCAGTTCAGTTCAGTTGCTCGGCAGTATCTGACTCTTTGTGACCCCATGGACTGCAGCACATCAGGTTTTCCTGTCCATCACCAACTCCCGGAGCTTAACATAGTGCCCCTGTATCATAGACAGTCTGTATTCAGGTTAATCATTATGAGCTTTGTATTTGCTTTATTAACTATTTAAAAAGTAAAAATTAATACTTCCTATTTTCTTTGAATTTAAGGAATGAAAAACATTAAAGGAATTTCAAGTCAGTTAAATTTCTTTTTCAGAACTATAAGATTAAATTCTAAATAACTCCTTTAAGTTTAAAAAAAAACTAGATTGTAGAGAACATTGATTTGTACATTTCTTTTCTTTTCAGTTTAGTTCAGTTACTCAGTCGTGTCTGACTCTTTGTGACCCCATGAACTGCAGCTCGCCAGGCTACCCTGTCCATCAACATGTCCGAGAGCTTGCTCAGGGTGGATGGCTGTGGTTGACGGTCAACACCATTGAGTCAGTGATGCCATCCACCCATCTCATCCTCTGTTGTCCCCTTCTCCTCCTGCCTTCAACCTTTCCCAGCATCAGGTTCTTTTCCAGTGAGTCAGTTCTTCCCATCAGGTGGCCAAAGTATTGGAGCTCCCGCTTCAGCATCAGTTCTTCCAGTGAATATTCAGGACTGATCTCCTTTAGGATGGACTGGTTGGATCTCCTTGCAGTCCAAGGGACTCTCAAGAGTCTTCTCCAACACCACAGTTCAAAAGCATCAATTCTTCAGTGCTCAGCTTTCTTGATGGTCCAACTTTCACATCCATACATGACCACTGGAAAAACCATAGCTTTGACTATGTGGACCTTTGTCAGCAAAGTAATGTCTCTGTTTTTTAATATGCTGTCTAGGTTGATCATAGCTTTTCTTCCAAGGAGGAAGCACTTTTTTTTTTTTTTTTTTTAACTTTCATGGCTGCAGTCACCATCTGCAGTAATTTTGGAGCCCAAGAAAATAAAGTCTGTCACTATTTCCCTTGTTTCCCCACCTATTTGCCATGAAGTGATGGGACTGAATGCCATGATCTTAATTTCTTGAATGTTGAGTTTTAAGCCAGCTTTTTCACTCTCTTCTTTCACTTTCATCAAGAGACTCTTTAGTTCTTCACTTTCTGCCATAGGGTAGTGTCATCTGCATATCTGAGGTTATTGCTATTTCTCCTAGCAATCTTGATTCCAGCTTCTACTTCAACCAGCCTGGCATTTCACATGATGTGATCTGCATGTAAATTAAATAAACAGGGTGACAATATACAACCTTGAAGTACTCCTTTCCCACTTTGGAAACAGTCTGTTATTCCATGTCCAGTTTTAACTGTTGCTTCTTTGCCTGCATACAGATTTCTCAGGAGGCAGGTCAGGTGCCTGGTATCCCCATCCCTTGAAGAATTTTCCACAGTTTGTTGTGCTCCACAGAGTCAGAGGCTTTAGTGTAGCCAATAAGACAGAAGTAGATGTTTTTCTGGAACTCTCTTGCTTTTTCTGTGATCCAGCAAATATTGGCAATTTGATGTCTGGTTCCTCTCCCTTTTCTGAATCTAGCTTGAGCATCTGGAAGTTCTCGGTTCATGTACTGCTGAAGCCTGGCTTGGAGAATTTTGAGCATTACTTTGTTAGCACGTGAAAGGAATGCAATTATGTGGTAGTTTGAGCATTCTTTGGCATTGCCTTTCTTTAGGATTGGAATGAAAACTAACCTTATCCAGTCCTGTGACCACTGCTGAGTTTTTCACATTTGCTGGCATATTGAGTGCAGCACTTTCACAGCATCATCTTTTAGGATTTGAAATAGCTCAGCTGGAATTCCATCACCTCCACTAGCTTTGTTGGTAGTGATGCTTCCTAAGGCCCACTTGACTTTGCACTCCAGGATGTCTGGTTCTAGGTGAGTGATCATAGCATTGTGATTATCTGGGTCGTGAAGATCTTTTTTCTAGAGTTCTTCTGTGTATTCTTGCCACCTCTTCTTAATATCTTCTGCTTCTGTTAGATCCATACCATTTCTGTCCTTTATTGTGCTCATCTTTGCATGAAACATTCCCTTGGTATCCCTAATTTTCTTGATGATATATCTAATCATTCCCATTCTATTGTTTTCCTGTATTTCTTTGCATTGTTCACTTAGGAAGGCTCTTATCTCTCCTTGCTATTCTCTGAAACTCTACATTCAGATGGATATATATTTCCTTTGCTCCTTTGCCTTTAGCTTCTCTTCTTTTCTCAGCTATTTGTAAGGCCTCTTCAGATAACCATTTTGCCTTTTTGCATTTCTTTTTCTTGGAAATGGTTTTGATCACAGCCTTCATACAATGTCACAAACCTCTGTCCATAGTTCTTCTGGCACTCTGTCTTATCAGATCCAATCCCTTGAATCTATTTGTCACTTCTACTGTAAAATCATAAGGGATTTGATTTAGGTCATACCTGAATAATCTAGTGGTTTTTCCCTACTGTCTTCAATTTAAGTGTGAATTTGGCAATAAGGAGTTCATGATCTGAGCCACAGTCAGCTCCAGGTCTTGTTTTTGCTGTCTGTATAGAGTTCTCCATCTTCTGCTGCAAAGAATATAATCAATCTGATTTTGGTATTGACCGACTAGTGATGTCCATGTGTAGAGCCATCTCTTATGTTGTTGGAAGAGAGTGTTTGCTATGACTAGTGCAATCTCTTGGCAAAACTCTGTTAGCCTTTGCCCTGCTTCATTTTGTACTCCAACACCAAACTTGCCTGTTACTCCAGGTATCTCTTGACTTCCTACTTTTGCATTCCAGTCACCTGTGATGAAAAGGACATCTTTTTGGGGTGGTAGTTCTAGATGGTCTTATAGGTCTTCATAGAACCATTCAACTTCAGCTTCTTTGACATTAGTGGTTAGGACATAGACTTGGATTACTGTGATATTGAATGGTTTGCCTTGGAAATGAACAGAAATCATTCTTTCAATTTTGAGTCTGCACCCAAGTACTGCATTTTGGACTCTCTTGTTGACTATGAAGGCTACTCCATTGCTTCTAAGGGATTCCTGCCCACAGTAGTAGATACAATGGTCATCTAAGTTAAATTCACCCATTCTGGTCCATGTTAGTTCATTGATTCCTAAAATGTCGATGTTCAGTCTTGTCATCTCTTGTTGGACCACTTCCAATTTACCTTGATTCATGGACCTAACATTCCAGGTTCCTATGCAGTATTGTTCTTTACAGCATCGAACTTTACTTCCATCACCAGTCACATCCACAACTGGGTGTTGTTTTTGCTTTGGCCCCATCTCTGTTCTTTCTGGAGTTATTTCTCCACTCTTCTCCAGTAGCATATTGGGCACCTACTGACCTGGGGAGTCCATCTTTCAGTGTGCTATCTTTTTGCCTTTTCATACTGTTCATGGGGTTCTCAAGGCAAGAATGTTGAAGTGGTTTGCCATTCCCTTCTCCAGTGGACCACATTTTATCAGAACTCTCTACCATGAGCCATCCATCTCG